GGCTCCTCTCAATCCCTTCATCCCCCAGCCTGTATTGATACCGGGGATTGCCCTGACCCATGTGAAGGACCTTGCACTTGTCCTTGTTGACCCTCATGAGGTTCACAGGGGCCCACTTCTTGAGGTTGTCCAGGTCCCTCTGGATGGCATCCTGTCCCTCTGGCCTGTCGACCGCACGACTCAGCTTGGTGTCATCTGCAAACTTGCTGAGGGTGCACTCGATCCCACTGTCTATGTCATAGATGAAGGTATTAAATAGTACCGGTCCCAATACGGACCCCTGTGGGACGCCACTCGTCACCCATCTCCATCTGGACATTGAGCCGTTGACCACTACCCTCTGTATGCTACCATCCAACAAATTCCTCACCTGCCGGGCAGTCCATCCATCAAATCCATGAAGCTACCTTTGAGCGTATCATGAACAAATTTTGCTTTTCTAAGACTTCCTGGTAGCATTTGACTTTACTTATGTTTTATTTGCCTCTTTTTTTTTTTCTTGTTTTTTTTTTTTTTTTTAAGAGTAACATTCTTCTAGCATAATATAATTATCAAACCTAACCGTGAGGCCATTTTATTAAGATTGATCTCTCCTGAAATGAAATTAAACTAGAAGGTTTAATGCAGCCTTCTGCATAAGTGTGTGACTGAGGGAAGAATGTTAAGCCTCGAGGATTGTAAATGGGATGGATGTGTGCAGGTATGGGTACAGCAAGCTTGATCAGCTCCTGGCTGGTAAAGTCATGGTGGCTTCCTGAGCCTGTTGTGACCAGTGTGGTGCCGTCCCTCCCCGTCACCGCTGCTCCCTTTTCCAGGTTCCACGTGAGCCTTGCTATTTAGCTTTAGCTGTGTCTGCTGGTAAGATGCTAAATTCAGCTAGTCAGGGAGCACAGCACGTCCTCTCTGCCCTGTGATCTGTTACCACACATCTATCCCACTCAAAGCTGGAGAAACAAAAAATACCATTGAATGTAGGTATTTTCAAATCAAATTTTTCTGGGACTGTCATAAAATGATATTAATTCTCCATTTCAAATTAAAATAGCTCCACTATGAATAATTTTCCCAAACCCTTAATAAGATACAGTTGCATAAGTTCCCTTTGGGAGACCATTTCACATGTATTCTAACTATCTCGAATGGGAAAATTTCTTACTGTATAATATTGTAAAATAAATCACCTCCTCAAATTAGTTTTTCATTGTACATATGAGGCAAGAATTAAACCTGCAACATATATTTCTTTCGGCTTTGAAACTCTCCAGAACATACTGAAATATTGAGGGACAGTCATTTAGATAAAATAGTAATGATATCTAGTATTTGCAAGAACTTGTGTAGATTTAAAATTCTTACTCAGAGGCACATAATGCAAGAAACAAAACCTGATTATTTAAAGCTGGTATATCAAATCTTCCAGAATAACATTAGTGCTGTTTAAAGGAACCATGTATATACCAGATTTTTTTATTAGATTTTGTATTATCAAATAGAAATCTGCATTTTTAACTGGAGAGATTTTTCACTCCAATTTAAAAATCCTTTTTTTACAATCTCTATGTATTTTATCTTCGCTAAATACTTGATTACAATACAAAAATGTGTGACAGGAATATTTTAACTATTGCATTTATTATCTTATAGCAGTAGAATGAGACACTGTGATGTAAAAAAATAACAGAAACAATCAAGACAATGCATAGATAATTGTGCTGGAAGGAAAGATACTATTATTGTCTGCCATATTTTATAATCTTTGAAAAATGTGTTTGCTTGTATTTCTTATTACTGATTTTTAGTTCCAGTAAGTAGAAAAACACTTTTGGGAGAAAAAATGGTTAATTTCCTTGGACTCACTCAAGATGTATTTTTTATTACCATAAATTATAATTGGATGGCTGACACCTGGAGGGGAAGTTTTACTTAGTTTTTCATTAGTTTTGAACTGAGGAAATACTCATACATGTCTGGCAGTCTGTTTTATAAAGCTAATGCCCCGGCTAACATAACACCTGGTGTCTATTTGTTTTAGGTGTAATTTCATTTGTTGCTGAAGATGGAGACCAACAGCAGTCTCGACATAACAGCTCACCAGAGAAGACAGATGGTGAACAGGCCCTTCAGAAATTGTCAACAGAGACACGACAAACTGTTGATGCAGCAAACATGGGTATGTTTGTTATTATGGAAAAGTTCATTGTGAGTTTGTAGAAACTTATAATTTCTTTTTAAATTAAATGTTTATTTAGTATGCCAGGCCACATGCCTGCGCACAGTGTTAAGTCAAATGTTTATTCCAGGCGTATATGAAACTTCTCCTTTTCTGATTTTTGAAACATCTTTATGAAATCTTAAGCTGAGCTTGTTTTTTCTTTTTCTCTTTTTTGCAACAATGTCACCGAACGTCACTTTTTATTGGAAAGGGGCAGCATTTGTTAAATGCTTTCTTTTAAAAGTATCCAATAATATTAATAGTGCTGATGTCAAAGCAGGCCATCACATTGCTCCACTTCATTCCACTGTGGAAAAATTTTGTTGTCAGTCACAGATGCTTCTTCGGTTAGTTACAGTGAAATTGAGAGGAGAAAATTCCAGAATACCTGGTTACTTTCAGATTGCCACCTCATACTTTATTCTAAACAGTTTCTGCATTATTTTTGAGATTTTTAAGTTTTCCAGAGGAATACTTTTGTGATTACAAATATGCACACCAAATAGACAAAGGTGGGTTTTCTTCTCTGTTTTTAAATGTATTTCTCCATTTTCTTCTTTGCATTTGCAAATAAGGATTTGCCTATAGAACTGTGCTTTTTATGCTTTTAATACCTAATTTGGAATGTATTTAAGTTATCAAGCATTACGTTAGGAAGCTAAAGCATATTTTTCGCAAGGAAAGCTATCAAGGAGATAGCTTAACCTGAAAAAGATGTTGTTTTAATCAACATTCAGTTTTTAGGAAATCGGGAAGAGCTTGCAACTGGAGATCTCTATCTTCTTTACAACTCTAATTTCACTTTAACAGAATTTATCTAGTTTTTAAAAGAATTAAAAGCTAATGTTATTATTAATAAATAATAAATAATTTGAGTTAATCCAATGTGAATATCGAAAGTCTGTTCTTTATAGTTTATTAATATCTGTATTTAATAATATGTAGAGACTCAGAGATTAGTATCCCATCTCTGATATGAAGTGATCCCAGGAATTTACAATCTGTATAGACAGGACAGAGGCAGGAAGAAGACAAAAGCTCAGAGAAATGAAGTGACTGTCCCTGATCATACCAGTAGCTTAATGTCGTGGAGTATTAAAAAAAAAACATTTTTTTTTCTCACGAGCCAGAGCCCTATCAATGGATATACATTGTCTCTCTAATCTACCAGATTCGTTACCGCATTCTTTTTTGCTAAATTTTTTAATGTGAATTTTGAAACACTTTTTTTACACAGCTCAGACTCCTGGTGTACTTAGCTTTGTTGTGTGCACTCCACTTCTTTTTAACAGCTGTATTTAAAACTAACAAAATATAGTAAAATGTTTTCTGTGATTATTATAGCTCTTCCACAAAATCAGATCTTCTAAAATGTTATTTTGTGCAAACAGTTGATAATACAATGTGAGTTTAAAATAGAAAAGGAATAGAAGTGGAAGAGAATGATGTAGCTGGACATGGCAAAATGCTGTTTTCAAAAGAAGATTTCAAAAAGGATTTTCAAAGCCAAAGGAAAAAAATGTAAACTAAATCCTAGAAGAAATAAAGAGTTTTGTGAGGACAGTACAGAAGCAGTTCTCCTGTCTGGTATGTTTAAGGGGAACACTAGTAATGTTGAACAGTAGCGTGTTTTTAAATTCTGGCATGAAGAGAGCTAGAAATAGGAGAAAGCCCTTAAGAAGGCAGTTAGAAAGGAAATAATCAGTATTGAGCTTTCACTGCTTTTCAAGGTTCAAGAATATTTCCTTGCATTCTCCTCCTACAGCTAGCTTTTTTATTTGAATTTTCATGTACAGCAACATGGAAGTTGGTTGACATTAAAACTCACACCACACATCATTTTAAGTTTACAGAAGGATTTTAACAGATTAAATTAAGGTGATATATGCAGACAGTGCACTAGAGATGAGAATTAGCAGATTTCAAGATTTTAGGAGGAATTAATCATAAAAGAAATATCACGAGTGATGCCAAGTACAGGGAGATATTGGAGATAATCTTCAAATCTCTACTGAAAGCCTCCAAATGTTCGTGAATTTAATTATGCTTCTATTGTCTAAACTAAACACTTCTGCTTATGAGATGTTTAGGCTTTGCAAAGTTAGGAATCATCAGTCCAAAACTAGTAGAGGCTGTAATTGAAAGGAACTGAAAATAGAAGGTTAAGTAAAAAAATAGAAGGTTAAGTGAGTGGATTTCTCAATACTGTCCCTATCAGTGATATGAGTTGAGGGCATTGTTCCTAGGTAGAAAATCCAGTGCAAGTTCACTGTTTGCTATTATTACTACTGATGAGCCTTTTGCTCAGTTTGGTTCCCCATTAACAATGTGAGACTGGCTGATCTACTTACTTATTTGGAATGTGTTTTTCAAATATGTTGGTGGGTGATTAGTCTCATAACTTGCTGAGAGGGGCCAGGTAATCAGCTCCAACTTAGCTCCCTTTTTCACTGCACACTAATTTACATGGATAGATCACTCCAGCACACAGGGTCCCATTGGTAGTTGGAGCAGTCTGCACAGCTTATTCATATATGGCTGCGTCAAGTTACTGCATCTTATTTTTCAGTTACGATCTTTTGCTATTTTTGTGCTACTGTAGAGTTATATCTGTGTCTTAGTGTAACCTACGTGTTTCTAGTTGTACTAACTCAAGTTTCATGACTGCTAGCAATGCTTGGGGCATCATTAGGATTGCTTTCTAAAGTGGACTTAAAGTAGGACATGAAATGACTCTTCCCTAATACAGTATCGCTTAATAATAATAGGATTTTTTTTCTTCAATACAGAAGATATACCCTTATGATGCCCATATCCTAGGAACAGCAAGCTTCTGTCTCACCTTTAAATCAATGAACTGCTTCTAGTCATTTCACAAAACATTATCTTCCATCACAAGCATTCATTTGTACTAGACATCTGTAACTTTTACAACTGGGGAAAGTATCTGCTGAAAATGGCTAAATAGAGATGGAATGTAGCAAGGTGTGATCTAACGTCTATGATAGTAGTAGTCTTTTTCTGAACTTACTTCAAAGAGGAACTAATAGAGTCTTAGCTTTATCCTACACAGTTTTCTTTTAGAACTATATTGTTACTGTAGTTTTTCATAAAAATTAATATTATGTGGCTTTTCAGAGTAGAATAACTGATGGACATTTCTGAGATTTAGGATTTCATAATTGTAAGGTGCACACCACTAGTAGAATGCAAACCGGTTGCATTTGACCAGAGGCATCACACACTGAAGAAGTGCATCTCAGAGCTGAGAAATCCCCAGGGCTACTGTTACCGATCTGGGGTAACAGGAAATAGTGGACTTCTGATGTAGAGAAAATTAATATACAGACTTGAATTGGTAGAGGCCAAAACAAGTGTGAGGTTGTCCATAGCTGAATAAGGTTAGAAAAAAATCTCTGATGATATACACGTACACCAAACATTTTTGTTTGCTGTCACTCAGTGAAAATTATTCCTTTTAAACATACTAGAAACTACTACCTTGTTATACACACCTTAACATTCAATATCATCTTCAGATACACACACATATGCATTATGTAAGTACGTATATGTGTATTTATCTTTTTTTCCTTTTTTTTTTCCTTCTCCAAATTACATTGTAGGTATGACTGTAGAAGAAGGTGATAGTTTCCACAATAGTTTTCATATATTCTTTTCATAATTTCTACCAAAATCACTCATTATGCTCTTCCAAAAAGCTAATGATTCTGAGATTTGTCCGTGATTTTTTTTCTCCTTCAGATGTAGTTAAGAAAAAGCACATTTAGTGCTTGCAGTGAAAACCAGTGATACAGCAATCCTTATGACAGATCCTTTTTATGCTGCCTTATACCAGGGGGAAGAAAAGGAAACAAACCAAAACCCAAACAGAAAAATGTCTGCAGCGCAGATGTAGTGACAGGGGCTTGCCCCTTTCTAAACTGACGTGGGTTTTTAGTTCTTTCCAAAGCATATATCTGTCTTTCGAGAGAAGAGGTCCTAGGGTTTTTTCTCATGGGAACCAAAAGTAAAACAAGGCTAAGTGGTTGCTAAGACTGAAAGTAGGATGCAGCTGGTCTTTCATGTAAGATTTATCTTTAGATATTCCTATACACTAAAGTGCTAAAATCATAAATAAATATTAGTCATTAATGACATTTGTTTCACAGTCTGACTAAATGCTGTGAAGCCTCCTACGCTTGTCAAAGTTACCTCTCAAAGTAGAGGAAATTTTTCTACTCTACTATGGAGTCCATGGTAACTTCTTAAACTGAACTGCCCTTGGACAATTGCCCCTGTGTTGCGCTCTTTGCTGTGTAGCATGTGGGCAATAGGAAGGATGCTTTGCTCAGCTTCTGCTAGACCAGCTCAGCCATCCTCAGGAATCTGATCCCACAGCTCCTCTGTGAAGAAGAGTCGAGAGCCTGAAGTTGGTGCAGTTGCTGCAGTGGCTAAGACTTGCACTGCAACTGCAAATCCCCCTCTCCTCTTCCAGAATCCCTCACTCCATCTCTTCAGCAGCAAGTCTCAGCACAGAGCTGGCACTTAAGCAACAGCTTTTAATGTTCCTGCCAGTGGTGTGTCTCTCAGAGCTGAGCGCTACAGATGCAGAATGTTTGTTTGTACAACACGGGAATTCTGCATGTGGTGGTGTCTTATTCTGGCTGCCCTAAGCATTGCCTTTATCAAAAGATTATACTTCCCATTGTGTTCGTCTTATGGAATGCATTTACATCTTTATGCCATTGCCAAGTTGAATTTCTTTGTACTTGAAAGGCATAACATCAAAAAGATATGCTACTTGTGAATAAGCCATGATAAAAAAGCATATTCAAAATGGTTAGGCCAGGCATTCATTTTGGCAAAGCCTGTTTTAATTATCTTTTTAAAGCTAATTTATCCTTCAACCAGGCCTTCAATGACAGGTGACATTTTCTAGTCTAAGTTGTCATTGTAGTGCTCATGATATGTCTCTGACAGTTAA